CCTCTCTCTCTCTCTCTCTCTCTCTCTCTCTCTCTCTCTCTCTCTCTCTCTCTCTCTCTCTCTCTCTCTCTCTCTCTCTCTCCTGCGAAGCTTATCTGTGCACACGGCCGATCTCCAGTAAGATAGCGGGGGAAACCCTGCCGGCGTCAGCCTGAAGTGTACCGCACACGTGGAAAATCACGGAACGGAGACAAAAACAATTCTATGAAATGATAAAGCCTTACTAAAAGTAATTATAGCGTGGTCCTACAGTAGAAGTGGCGCTCAAAACATTCGTCCCCGGTGAAAAGATAAATAAACAACTCTGATAGCATCGCAGTCAGTGAGCCAGCCACAGAAGATTCTTATAAACGGTCCTGTCTTTACGGAAGACCTGCTATCAGGAACAGTATTCAGTGAGTTCATCTGAAATATAGTTCCACACAAGACAGAACTTTACCACTTCAGTAGGCTATTCCTAACCTTTGTACTGGAAGAAGTATTCATGTTCCTTTTAATGTGAAGTAGAAATACAACAATAAAAATATTGATTTACAAATATAAGGCTTATTTCATTACAAGCACAAAAGTACTATAAGCAAAGTTTATTAAGTATCAGAATAAAAATATTCAATATGCAGTTGAATGGTTTCTGTCAGTGTTATATCAGTATAATGTATTATTAGATTACCATGAATGATGCATAATATAATGAACCTATAAGCAATATTTTTAGTGTTGTATTTGGTGGAGGTGGAGCAAACTTTAACCATTTTATACACTGTTGGGTAATTACATCAACAACATTGCATCGTATCTTATAAAGTAGGCATATGCATTTAATATAAAATCTTAATCTGAAAAGTCATTTTAACTATAGCAGTCAAATAAATGTAGTGAAATACAACAGTGAAAGTAGTGAAGTCAAAATACAGACCAGCATAAGATGGAGATACACAAGTCAAGTACAAGTATCTGACTGAAACTGTACAGTACTGAGTAAAAGTACTTACACTCCGCTAAGGCTTTTACCTTGTGGCCTCTTGAAACTAATCAATGTCTGTTTGTGACCTTTTGATCTGAGTATTTCTGCTTGTCCCTCTGGTTAATAACCTCGTGACACCTCAGATTTGAATCATGACTACTTCTTCTTCTGCTTCTCATGTTTATGAATATTTAATCAAACATCTGTCAGTTACTTTTCCTGTAGAAATGTAAGTGAGACCTCCACAGAGTTTATACAGGCTTTTATTCAGAATCCTTATTATTAGTATTTTTAGACTGCACACACTGTAAACAATACAAACAAAATCAAACACAAAGCTTTAACTTGAGCAATAATTCTGCAGTAAATAAACACTTCTTCTGATATTGTTTACTGGGAAATTCTGTATTCTTCAGCTTTCCCACTGTCTGTAGAAAGTAATACTCATCTATCAAGTACCAGACACAGCATAACATAACTGACAGGGGGAGTGTACACTCCTAAATGTGTGCTCACATAGTGGACTGCATGTACATATTTCCCTGATGTTGTGCTTGGCTGCCCTTGCATGTTGTTTTGACAGTTAGAGGTGAGGACATGACATGACAAAGGGGACGCACGATAATGACATTCAGAAATTCCCCATCACATGATTCTTCAGCCATTCTGAAAACATAAGAGTCAACACATCATATCAATACAAAACTTTCTACGGCACAAGTGTTCCCATTGCAGGATCAGCGATGAAATGCAGAAACTGGCAAAGCGTCGTCACACAGCTGCAGATCTCTGTGGGTCTAATGGTCCGAGCAGAAGCCGGCAGTTCTCAGTTGCTTCAGGGTAGACAAGTAAGACAAGTAAGACAAGACTTGGCAGAAGACAGGTCTCAGGTGCCGCTAGTGGAGAGTGCAGGAGTGATGCTGGTTGTTATGGCACTGCTGCTGTTTGATTTCTGACTTAACAGGACTTCATCTCTTCATCATCATTGAATGAGTTCTTCCCATATCGATCCTTCCACCAGGCTCGATAGTGGAGGTGGAGAGCAGAAATGTCAGAAATGCAGCAGAGGAAGAACACCAGGAACATTCAGTATTAGCATCACATGACACACTGACCCCAAAAGACTATCTTCTATATACAATCATTACAAAAGGAGCAGCTTTAAACCAGTGAATATTTTTCACGCTATTATTAGAATTTGATCCATTATGTTCATGGATATATTTGAGGAAAACTGGATCTTCAAAGATGGCGCCCCATACACTCCTATGAAAGTGGCTCAATGGGTGCATACACCCCAAAAGCCTTCTCCTTTATTGGCTGCTTTGAGCATGCTCACTAGTCCCCTAGCAGTTGCACCAGTTCAGAGCATGCACGTTCAAGACTTCCTTTGACTTCTTCTTCTTCTTCTTCTTCTTCTTCTTCTTTCGGCTGTTCCTAATAGGGGTCGCCACAGCGAATCATCTGTTTCCACCTAACTCTATCCTCGGCATCCTTTACTCTCACCCCAATTAACTTCATGTCCTCTTTTAGCACATCCATATATCTCCTCTTTGGCCTTCCTCTTGACCTCTTGCTTGGCAGCTCCATCTCCAACATGGTTCTACCAATATAACCACTGCTACAGTCTCTAACCCATACAGCATAGCTGGTTTCACTACTGTCTTGTAAACCTTTCCTTTGATTCTTGCTGCCACTCTTCTGCCACACAACACTCCTGACACCTTTCTCCACCCACTCCAACCCGCCTGCCCTCGCCTCTTCACCTCTTTCCTACACTCCCCATCACACTGGACTGTTGACCCCAAATACTTAAACTCCTGCACCTTCTTGACCTCAGCCCCTGTAACCTCACTGTTCCACTTCCCTCCCTCTTGTTCATACACATGTATTCTGTCTTACCGTGACTG